CTCCATATTTCTTGCTATACTCATCAAATCCTTTGTGATATTACTTGTGGTTGCTGCTAAATTCTCCTTGTTATAGTTCCTTGAATGGATAAAACCACCCAACCATTGACAGTCATTTTATTTTAATATAAACTAAGGCACATTTATAGGAAAAAAACTCACCTATTTCGAAGACTGGATGCTTGACCAGAAAATAAACTCTCTCTTTCTGTTTGGTCAATCCTTGCTTTACATGCTAAGTTAGCTTTCCTGATTGATGACTGTAGTCTAAGATATGAATGGTAAAAACTAGGATTTATCAATACTACTAACATCATAGTATAGAGGAGACTATGCCAACATTTATCAGCTTCTCTACAGAGAAAATTTGCTTCTAAATTGATAGCAAGCCTTAAATGTATTTTTATCCTTAAATTTACATTTGTAAGACATTTTACTTTACCTTATAAGCTCACTGTCGTGTTGATTTTTTATTAATAAAATAGCCTTTGTATCTGAATCTTTGTCTTGCTCTTTTGCAAGTTGTTCAAGTTTCTTTAAATGAAGAAAAATAATAAAAACTTAGTTTTTTTTTGTTTCTACTTCTTTTAACTCTTTGTGGTTACTTCCTGAACTACAACCACACTCACTATCTATAATTGATAACTARTTGAACACAGAGCTGTTCCTGTACTTTTAGTTTTGAATTTATAGAGGTAATTTCTGGACTAAAAATCCATTTTTTGTTTGTTTGGTATCTTCCATATGTATCTTTCCGGTGAGTAATCAGAGTCTGACAAGGGTATAGTCTATTAGAGTTMCAAATAGGAGGACCTTATTAAACAAATTTACCTCCCTAATAGAAAAATGCCATATCATGCAGGAATACTAGGATKAGCACATTGATATCAACAGTTAAAACTGCAGTTTAGAATCTTTGATCACTAGTACATCGAATCATTATCATCATAATCATCAATAGTCTCAATARCATCTCCACGTCATCTTTTATATAAATGACATCATCAATATTCAGTCTCAACGTTAATTAAAATAGCTTCCCGTCAAAACTGGAAGTAAATTAATATATCTCAATGTTTCCTATTAAACAAGCCTGTTTTCCGATAGGAACTGGTCTTTCACCTCCATRTTCATCTTCAGCGAGTTCATCCTCATTTTTATTTTCATGTTGAGYTCATTCAACAACGTCAAAGGTCCATCACACTGTCGTATTTCTTGTACTAAATTTTGAATTTCAAATTCTACTTTTACAACATCACGGACTTGAATTTTAGCTTGGATGGGGACTTCTCTTGAAACTTCCAGTTCGTCCGCCATTTTGAAACACCACAAGCTCCCAAGGGATCACGGTAGTTTTACTTCGTAGTTGTCTCGTTTATATTCGGTCTTTGAGCCGAYTCGTTTCCGAAGTTTATRSTTGATAAAGATTGAGATTTTATTCCGTAAATTTAAGTCACATTGCTTTTTTTAAAAAAGTTATTTTATTTTTAATATATTTAAGA